CACGACGTAGCTGCTTTCCTCTTGCGGTGCATGTATTCTAAATAGCTCGTGTTAGCGGTTGACTACCCCTCTTCGATACCGTGGGCTCGTGGGTGCGTGGGTTTGTTTGACCATCTAGCGTCGACGAAAGAGAATACACGGCAGAAAGGCAGTGAACATAATGAAAGTTTCGGTGATGGGCTGGCGCGCGTCCATTCTTCCCTTAGCCCCCTACTGCGCCACCCACCTCAACCCAACTCAGAGACCAACCGAACGATGGCCCTGATCGGGAGGATGACCAAGCCCTGCCCCGGCTGCCAGACTCCGGTGGAGAAGCTCGGCGGTTGTAACCAAATGGTGTGCATGCACTGCCACTGCAGCTTCTGCTGGATCTGCATGGAGCATGTCGATCGGGGCACGTTCCCGGTCCACTTTCAGGTACTAGAGCAGTTTTCTTCAGTGCGCCACTACAAAATGCGCGGACGCTTTTTTCTTCGCCAAAAGCAGCACGCCGCGAACCAACTCGACGTTCCCTTGCTCGACGTTTTTCGATTGGAAGCATCTCTTTTGGCACACTTCCAATCTCGACTCTCAGTCGACGTGAGGATCCTCTGCGGTGCTACTCCTGATGTGTGCCGCTGATGCTGTGAGTTTTCTTGCTCCGGGATCCAAGTCCCGGATTAGGCCGCGGTCGACGCTGTGCCACACTGATGTTAGTTTGTTTCAGATAATATCGTGGACCTTCCCCCCCTTGCTCCCAAACTACTCGTTGCCCCCTCTCACCCTCGTTTTGTACCCTCCGTCCCCCCCCCCCCCCCCCCCCCCCCCCCCCCCCACCCCCCCCCCCCCCCCNCCCCCCCCCCCTCGACCACCCCAAGCACTAGCTGACACTCCCCCCCTGGCTCCGCCCCCTCCCCTTACCGGTGCTCCCCCGTGGCGTTCGGTCTACAGTGGTGGAACGTGCGCGGTTGTCCCAACCAGCAGCTGCAGGAGGACTCCCACCAATCGCCTCGCGGCAGGCAGTGCCACAAGCTCCTCTCGGCCGTGCAGATCGTAGTCGTGGGGCCCCTCGCCCTGCTGCTGACGGTTGCGTCGTCTCTGGCGTGTGTGTGCTGCCTGCCGGCCTTTAGGCTCTCCCCGCGGCAGCTGTTCACGGGGTGCATCTCCGGGTGGGGCAACTTCGTGATGGTGCTGCCGCTGCTCCCCGTCGTCCTTGTGGGCGCCGTACTGGCCGCTGTCCTGTGAGTTAGGCTGGGATTCCGTGGGCGACGTTAGTTAGCAGACGAATCCTAGAGGTCGCGTTATTGGGTGGCTTTGGCCCAGGCCGGCGGCGGCAGCGGGATGGCTTCTCCGTCGATGGTTTGGGCGAGGAGTGAGGGCCTAGAAAAGAGATTTTAGGAGATGATGGGTTTTTCTACTGTTTTTCCAACAAGCTTGTCATCCACAATCTAGTTGGTTTTTTGGTAGGCCGGTGGGTGCTTCGAGTCTACTTCTACCGTGTCGAACACGAGTTTTGTCTCGACAAAGGAGAATTCTGTGGATGGATGAGCGAACGAACCACGGTTTTGGTTTGCCAGAGGAAACCTGACACAGCTCGAGGGCAAAAAATGACTCCTGTAGGCCCTCCCGTGATGCTCCGGCATGCATTGTACCACGTGCATGCCCTGCAATCAGTACGTTGTGGTGCCGCCCATAAATTCGTGCCATCTTGACTTGCTCTGGAGTAATTCTTGGCTTCAACTTTGATTGTACTGGATGCAGCATGTGTCAGCGCCCGTTCTTGAATACCGTATCTCTAGATACCTGCACAGCAGGAACGGCTCTCTGCTTTGACCCCTCCACCCCCCTGGACCTTGCTCTCTACGGCCTCGCACACGCTCGGTGCTGTCATACCCTCACGCTTTACGTTTGGTTTTTACTGCAGGTACCTCGTGATGCTTCCCGCCCGGCTCTTCAGAGCAATCAGCCGCAAGTGCAGCTCACGCACGACGAGTCTAGACTTAACTGCGTCGCGGAGACCCAACAACAGCCGCGACGCTCGCAGCGGCAGCCGCAAACGTAGAGGCGGCGGCGGCGGCGGCGGCGGCGGCGGTGGCGCAGGTAGAGGTGACACTGGGCAGGAGGGAGAGGCGGGGGGCGGCGGTGGCGATCCAAACGCCATCGAAAGCGGGACGATCGGAGCAGCGGCCGAAGCTGTGACGGAGACTACTGGCAGTAGCAGCGCAGAAAGTGGCGCGACGGCGGGAGCATCGGCGCTGGCGATCTTGACCGAGGTGCTGGGCCCACAGCTATTCCGGGGGGGGCAAGGGGATCGGCGAGACGAAGAGGAGCCGGGGAACGGCGGTCATGACGTGGGGAGGAGGAGGCAGGAGGAAGAAGAGCGGATGCAGGCCAACTACGGCGACGAGGAATCCGAGGAGGGGCGACGCTACCGGCGAGCCCCTCACCCTTCAGCCTTGTCGCCGCATTCGTGGATGCCTCCTCCGCCTTTCCACCAATACAGCAGCGGCAGCGGCGTTGGCGGCGACGTTGGCGTTGGCGGCGGCGTTGGCGTCGGTGTCGGCGGAAAGGGCGACGAGGTTTTGGCAGCACCGTCGTCGTCGGCATCATCATCACCGGAGATTCTAGAGGCGGGGCAGCGGAGGCCTGGGGCTCCTTATACTCCTGAGGTGGAGATGGTCGCGTCCCCGTCGTCGTCGTGGTCCGCTCTTGGTGGCAGTAGCACGACGGCGGCGGTAACGTCGACGGCGGCGCCTGATGGCGAGGGTAGAACGGACGAGGAAGGAGGCGTGAATTTTCGCGACGGCGACGCTTCCCGGCGCTCAGCCGGAGAAGTTACGGTCGCCAAGGCTAGCACCGTCGCGCCGCCGGTCGGCGAAGAAGCCCTGCCGAAAGCGGCGGCGGAATCTGGACGTGACGATGGTAGTGTTGGTGTTGATGGGGCGGTGTTGGGATCCAGGGTGGTCGCGGTGGGGGATGAAGGAGCGCCGCCCGTGGGAGCAACGGTGGCGGCAGATGTACTCGAGAGTTGATGTGGCGGTGCTTTTGATGTGGATGTACTCGAGAGTTGATGTGGCAGATGTACTCGAGAGTTGATGTGGCGATGCTTTGATATGAGGGTCGATCGGAGAGTCGATTGTTTGTCTCAGCAGCCATTTTGTTTGTTGGGTGCTGTGTTCTCGTGGTGTTGAGTGATGATGACGATGATGATGCTTGCTGTGTAGATACGCACCGTGCATGACTGAGCGAGAACCGGCGCTGATTGTGTTGTAGATTCAAGTAATTAAGGGGCGTAGATAATCCACCCCACTTCCCACCCCCACCCCCACCCCCTCCGGTCCGTTCTCAGAGAATTGGGCGGAGTTTCAGAAATTGTTTGGCGGTGGCTCTACTCTCCATTAATTTTACTTTCGTGTTGATGCATGTGGATTGCTTTGTTGTGTGGCTTGGTTTTCCTTGCGTCCTTTGGTGATGCGAATGACCGTCAGTATTGCGTCTAGAAATCTGACTTGACGACGCTTGGCAACCGCGATGATTGAGCGACGATCGGAGCGTGATTCTTCCGCTGAGGATGAAGTCCTCGCAGTCGCGATGCAACGACCTCGTTGAGGTCCGCTCGGGTCTGGACACCTCATCACCACGTAACTTTTTGTTTTGTTTCTTCCACGAACGCATGACCGAGAGAAGGAAAGAAGGCAGGGGGGGGGGGGG